CTTTTCACATTCTCACCAAATTCAGAAAAATGAAACCTTCATTCATACAATGCCAGGATGGCAGAGACTAATCCAAAATTTGAGACTGTGAATTTTTGGTACATTTCACATTCAAATCCTGAGCAGACACAACTCTGCTTGGTTTATGAGATCTGACAGTATCCCTGCTCAAGGTGATAAGGCTTCGGGCATTGTATACACTTGGCCATTGGCAGCAGAATAAAGACTGACAACTTGACAGTTCATCAATTGGAAAGCCATTTACTCTTTTCGAGACATGGAGAGACCGGGAGTAGAACTTTAATTTTGGACACGCATCTAGTAAATCCATACTGCAGTTATTTGCATAGTAATGTTTTTCCTTGATAAATGTCTTGGAAATCGTTATTATATGTGTCAATGCTTGTACCAAGGAACTACCCCTTTTATAAATTAAGTTGGCAATCGACAAACTAGTTCATAATAGTCTTAAAATTAATTGAGAGCTAGATTTGAAGTTTTATAAGTTCAGTAATTAAAATTGACAAATTGTAGAAAAACATTTGAGTTGTAAAAACAAATATTTAAGAATTAAGAACGCTTAAAATTTTCAAAACAATACAAAAGTATCGTTGAGTGTCAACAATGTATAAGTCACCATCAAGTAAATATTGATAGTGTCCTTCAAATAATATATATACAACTCCAATTTATGGGAGAATTTCAATCCAGTTTGGGATTTGGAACATATAAATATAAACAATTAAATAATTTCAGGAGTTATTTAATGTTACTTAAGAATAAAGTATACACAAGCTAATTAACGTATATGATTCATTGTCACCTTAATGGCAGAAATAACAAATTAGGGACTTTGAATTCAGGCCACAGTGAAGAAACTACTTTGATCTTAGAACTACATTAAACCGCATTGGTCTTCGAAAGCTAAATAAAGCCCTCTTCTGCCATCCTCACAAGCGTTCCTTGGTGAGTGCCTGGAACACATCCACCCTTGGAATCATGAATTCAGATTATGTCTCCGTCCCCAGACATAACATTTTGGCTCCAAACCTCTCTCATTTAATCCATATTAATACACAGGCTCATCAGATGTGCTGAAAGCACGCTATGCTCTGGAGCCATACTTCCTCTCTATTGCTGAGCTACCTCCTGCCTTCATTGCTATCCACATCCAATTTAGATTTTATGCTTTGTCACTCTAACTATGCTCTTGCCAATATCCTTAACCTCACTGCTGCATTGTCCTGCTATCAAAAACAAAACAACACAACAGAAAATAAAGACAACCTCATGAAGCCCCAAGCCTACATTAATTCAAATTATCTCAGTCTGCTGAATGCTGCTGGGCAAACATACACAACTGTGCAGATTAGTGCTACAGTGAATTCTGGATCTCTAACCTCAAATGAACCAGCAGCCCTGCCTGGCCTCTTTCATGTTCCCTAGTCAGCTTTCTCCAGTTTGCCACAGCAGCTATTTCAAAACTTCTTCACTGTCTTTAGAACTCCAGCCTCATTATCGCCAATGTCTTCTGTTACTTTTTCCCTTTTAGCAGATAATCTCACCTCCCACTTCCCCAAGAAAAGATAATCTATTTCTTAACACTTCCCTTAACTTCCTAACACCAAACACGAAGACTTGCACACACATCAATCTTTCCTTACACTCTCCCCCTCATCACTCTGGAAAATGATGTCCCTCATGCCTAAGGTTAAAAACTCCATCTAATTCTCAATCAAATCCTCTCTTTCTTTCTCCTAGAATTCTGTAAATGATCACTTTCCTTTACTTTCATTTGCTTCCTCTCTACTGGCTTGGTCTGTGAGCATTCAAATATACTGAAGTATCTTACGTTCTAAAACTTTTCCTTGAACTTCACAGAGCCATTTCATCACCACCACCCAAACACATGACCTTCTTCATTGTCCCTTTTACTCTTCTACTATTGCTATTTAAACATATGGCATTTACATTCTACTGAGATTTTTCTCATTAGTCACAATTAATTGCAACATCTTTTGATGTACTGAGCACTGTTCATGGGTGCTTCACATTACTAAGTCATTTAAGTTAGGCAGGCAAAACCTTAGTATGAAAATCCAACAGAAAGAATAATTTTAGGCAACCTCAGTCAAAAGCATTAATGTAAACATAACTATAATTTTAAATAAACCTAATTTTTATATGAAATTATATATATAAGGAATTTATGGAGATTACTTGATCTGATATAAGGTAATTAAAAAGAAAAAGAAAAAATCACATTTTGTAATATAATATTAAAATTTTTTTCTATGACATTGATCATGATTAAAAATGCATACTACTATTACTTCCATTTAACATTGTCTTAGTGCACTAAGGCAAAATAAATAGATAAATAAATAAAATGTGTAAAATTACAAAGGAAGAGACAAAAACTTTCATCAATTGCAGATGATAAGACAATTTGCAGAAATTCATAAGAATCTACAAATAAGTTATTAGAATTAAAAATCTGAGCAAGAGAGTTAAATATAAAATCCTTATAAAATATCAATGTTATTCCCACAGCAACAAACAGAAAATGAAATTTTAAAAGACGTTATGTTATATTGATAGACTATCATACCACTCAGCAATATAAATTTTAGAAAAATAAACAAAACCTTTAATACACAAAAAGAAGAATATATCTTAAAAAAGATGTTAAGAGAAAGAAGACATGAATGAGTATGTTCTACATTATCCCTTCATATGAACTTCCAGAAGGAAACTATCTGTGTTTCTAAGAATAGAAACAGGAATGATGGGACTTTCTGGGTGATGGAAATGTTCTGTAATTTGATTTCAGTGGTGATCACATTAGTGAATACAATTACTGAAACCCATTTGTACACTTAGAATTTATGTATTTTGTTGTATTTAAGCTATATTCAATTTAAAAAAACATATGCTATATGAAGAGTAAAATTTTACTCTCTTCTCATCCCATATATTAAAGAAAATGTTCAGGTAGACAAAAGACATTAATTTAAAAGGCAGAGCTATAAAACCTTTGAAACATAATTGAGCATAATATCTTTATAACTCTGGGAAGTAGGGAATGATTTTTTGAACAAGACTAAATAGCAATAATCATAAGGAAGAAAATTTATAATTCTACTAAATTTAAAGGTACTTTAAATGGCACAAAAATAAAATCCACAGAGAGGAAAGCAGTATTTGCAAGATAATTAAGTAACAAAAAGACCAATACTCAGAATATATGGGTTAACTCCTAGAAATCAATCATGAAAAGCAAAAGACAGTCCCCACTCTGCAGTCCAAATGGCCAAAAATCTTAAATGTGAAATTAACTCAAAGAGAAATCTCAAGAGCCAAAAAGAGTAGAAAAAGATGCAGAACTTTTTTATAATCAGGAAATGTAAACTGAAACCATGAAATTAAATCATTATATACCCAGTAAATCAATAACAATTTAAAAGTCTTACAAAGCCAATATTTGGTTAGAATGTGGGGCAATAGAATTTGCCTGCACCGCTAGTACTATGTAGATTGGTAAATCTCTATGAAAATGGGTTTGATGTTATGTAGTGAAGTTCAATATATTCACTTCTATTTCTGGATAAAAAATCTACAGAAATACATGCACAAATACAAGAGTGTATATCTGAGATATATGTCCAAGAATATTTGTGACAGGATTGCTTATAATAGTCTAAAAATGAAAACAAACTACAGCAGACTTTGAAACATTCATATGATAGAAAATAACACAGCAATATAAATGAATAAGCTGCAACAACATGAAACAAGGATTAACACAAATGTAATGTTGAACACATAAAGCAAGAAAAAAGAATATATGCACTACTGAGTCCATTCATAAGGTGAAATATTTGCAAAACACAATTATTTTATATAAAAATATAAACAATTTATAAAATTATATTTAAAATATAAAATAAAAAGTATCATAAAATTCAGATTCCAGATTACACTACCTAAGAAGGGAGGTCTGGCATGTAGTCAGGGCGAAGCATATGGGGGGGGTTAGAATGGTGTGTTCTATTTCTTGACCATAGTAGTGGTTGTTTCCTTTAAAATAATTCACTTAAACTATCATTGTGTATAAAACAAAAGTTAAAAACACATTAAGATAGTTTCAACTCTTTTAATATAAATTCACTGAGAAATTTTTATTGCTGATAAGAATAACTCCTGACTTTGTTTTGTCTGGACTTTTCTGCATCTTACATCCCAACACTGGAAAGAAACCAGCTGAAGAACTTCTTATCCCCAATATGGTGAACTCGTACAGTTCGAAATTTAGTTATCTGCTCTGTATACACACTCATTTACCTTACGGTTTTTCCTACCAAAAATATATAAAAATAGCAAATCCAAACTACAGAAAAGCCATTTCTTCAAGAGCTTTTATATTGACGTTTCTCCTTGAGGAAGGCATCATCCCTGTATTTCATGAAACATCCTTTATTGGCACTTAGCTGCTTCTTACCTGTGATCTGTACTATATAACAAGAGCACATTTTCTGCCAATTATTTTCTACTTATTACATGACATGTATAGAGGTTGAAATACTGTAATGTCATATTTATAGTAGACTTTCTGTCTAACTAAATGAAATTTATCCAAGCTGTTGTTCTGATTTTATGCATATTAAAATTTAAAACCAAGCAGCTACACATTGTATATATATTAAATTTACTACTTTATAAAAATGATTATTATGAATGAAAGGTGATGCCATTTCCCTAGGCAAGTATCATATTATTTTTTCCCTTTAATTATTCTAAGGCATGTGTAGAATTTGTTTCTTAATACTTTTCCTTAATTATTTAATGCCACATCAATGTCTAATTCTCTTTCTTCTTTCTCTTTTTCAAACAACAATATGGACTTTAAGGTGTCCTGTGATCATGCTACATGGAGAACAATCAAGTAAAACCACAATATTGGAAAAAGCATATTTATCTATTTATGAGTCTGGTCTTACTTTGCGAACACCTCTGCCAAGCTCTTCTCCATAGTTGGTTCCAAGAATTTCAAAGTGGACATTGGGATTGCCTCCATTTTCTCCAAATTCTAGCTCTCCAGTCAACCCATTAACTCCACCCTAAAGAAGAGAACAGATACTGATATAAAATTTCAGAAGTAAAAATACAATAATAATAAAACATAAGAGGAAGTAAAGTAACTCTACTTCCACCTATAAAATAAATGTTTCAAGCATGCAATTAATAACAGGCTATTTTTAAATAGGTACACAGCATAAAATGGAGTACAACTGAAAATAATCTTAGAAATCATTTAATCCAATTTCACCTATTTGTCATATAGACAAAGAAATTTAGACCCAAAGGGTCAAATAGCTGCTCAAAATGACACCATAATAGAGCTGAGACTAAATTCCAGTCTAGAGTTTTTGTTACCATACCTTGTGACGTGCATAGGTCCATTAGTCAGAAAACAAGATGCTTCTGGACAGCATAAACTCTATTCTGGAGACAAGTTTCAATAATAGTCTTTGCTCCAGCAAAATTCCATTCAAATTTGATCTAAAACTATACCTGAAAATCTTTAAATCCATGGTTTAAAAATTATTAGAGGTTTATTCTTCTTCCTTATTTAAATATGTTTTCCAAATTAAAAGTAAAAGAAAGCTAACTTAGACTTGAGATCTCTTTTTGCTGTTAACTGGTATTGCTGGATGTTGAGACTCATTGGGGATTTCCAAGTTTCATCTTTCCTTCAACATGACAGATGTTCACTTTCCAACACATGGCAATGTAGGTCATACTTCTTTCTTTCTTATCATTCTTTTCTCAGTTAAGTTTATCAGCCTTCATATTTTTTAGGATTTTACAAATGAAAATCACATTCTGAGTCACTTCAATGCTAAAGTATGTCTAACTTACAATTTTTGCTTATTAATAACATTTATTTGGATAATAAATTATCTCAGTTTGTAAATTGCTTCATTATCACCTCTATGATGTTAATATTTAAACATATTACATTTGCCATAACCTGTAACATCATTTCTTGTCTTTTCTTGGGGCTGGTATTATGTTATTGTATCTCCTATTTCATCTATGCCTTTTTACCCATCACTTGATGCTAATTTCATAATAGGAATTCAATAAACTATTGTTGATTGATAGTTAATCTACCTTAATCATTAATTTCAATATATATTCTACTTTATTTTTGTAACACTAATAATCAGTAACAGTAATAATGAATAAAATTAATCCTACACTACTGTTTCCTAATCAGCCAGCTTCTCCTCTACTCTCCAGTTTTATTAATAAAAAGCCTATTGGATTTGATATGCCTGTGCTCTTTTCATATATGATTTAGCAATCAAAAGCATAGATGACACTTCCTGGATTTCACCAATGGCACCAGAATCTACTAGCTGTGTAAACCTGGCTAAGTCATGTAATTTCCCTATGCCTCAATTTCTGTATCTGTCAACTGGGAAAAATAATAGTGCCTACACCAGAGGATTATTATGATTCCTATTATAATACATGTAAACAATATAGAAGAGTGCTTGACATAGGGTGAACGCTTTATTACTATTATTATTATCATTATTATTATCTCTGCCATTATTTAATTCTTTAATTTTGGAGGCTTTCTAGATCTCCTAGAAATTGTACACATGGTCTTGACTTTTTAAAATTAAAGTTTAATGGGTTTCCAAAATTCATTATATACCCAAATATTTAGATGGCTTAAGAAAATGTTTTTTTCAAATTCCAACTCAGTACATTTCATTGATTAGTACTTGGGGAAAAAAGAGTTAAAATAGCTGGTCTAGGATCTATTCACTCCCTTTACTGATGTATATGTAGGGGAGCAGCCTAGATTGGGGGTAGGGTATCTAATGTCTTTGTCACCTAGAACTCCAAGTTCTAGTATAATAAACTAGTAATAAAATAAACCAGTAATGTTTACTAGGAGTATGAGTCCTTATATATGCAAAGCCTTTAGCAAGATATCCGAGGATAAGGAAATATTGTACTAAAATAAACCCAGGATTTATGAATTAATGGCTAGTAGCTCCCTAAAAAATGTCTTGAAGGTTTATACTTTCTAGGGTAAAAATTGAGATCTTTCATAACATAAATGCCCCCTGTGGTGAGAGGTAAACATGTGAAACCTTCCTTGGAGACAGAATGTACATTTCCAATTCAGGAAGAAAAGACCTGGCTGCAATGCAGAATTTCTCATACTCTCTTCTCTTTCTCCTGTGTCCCTTGCTTACCTGTATTTTTGATAAGTGTAATATATCTGATTCTTCCAAGTCTATGTTAGCTCAGTATTAATATCTCAAAACATCCAGTTATCACTTAAGCTTTTAAAGATCATGGTAAATATAGTGGATCTTATTATTTCTAATATCTCCAAATGGTAAACATTATAGGAGTTTGATATAAAAATATAGCTTATATTACTACACATAAGTTCAAACTACTGGTATTCAGAAATCTTTTAATAAGAGCTTTTCTTGTCCTCAACCACACATCTACCTCAAAAATATCTCCTAATTATATCAGAATCTTAAATTTCTGTCTTAGTAGTTTATTTCTAGGAAAAAGTATTATATATTAACATGATTGCTACATAGCAAAAATACTATGCCCCTGAAATTTTTACACATTTGAGCACTAGACTACCTGGCGCTGTATTATTATTCCCAATCAATATTCATATTCGATCAATATTCATGGCTCGAGCCATGTCTTTACCCCTCTCTTGTATTTGCCATTGAGTGACTCAGTGTACGTAACATTGAACAAGGGACAAAAACCAATAAGTTGGGGAACTCGCATTTAGTTTGCTGTGACCTCCATTTACGTTGTTCACCTTTTTGACTTTGTAATTTATCTTCTTTATGCTATATTCTTAATGAGCTCTTGGCATGCCTAATCAGTGAAACCTTCTCTCACGAAGATGTCAGCGATTCTTAAGAGGTCAATATTTCAAGCAAATAAACCCTTTCACTAAAGCCCCTTGTTATTTCACCCAGATTTAACCTCTCTGATTTTTTATTGCTTTGGAAAATTCTACTGCTTTTGAGCTTTTCTTCAGCTATCCTCAGACTAACCTTGAAAACAGAGCCTTGGTAAAAATGTGTACTGGCCAGGTTGTAAGGAATGGTCATTATGTGCATACATGTTTGTATTTTTTATCTCTTGGTGATGCAGCAGATCCTAAACAAAATAAGCTAATGGAGCATTGACAGCAAGACTAACACATACAAATGATTTTGAAATGTCATTTAAATTAACAGTAAAAATTGCTGCCAGCATAAACCTTTTAAAAAATACTGAACAAAATTAGTTTGGATTTCATCCTATTCACCTGATATAGAAATACCAATGGACATCAAATATAAAGAGCAAAGAGGAAAAAAAAAATAAAGAGGAGAATCAAAGTCTGGTAATAATTTATCACTGGATAATAAGTTTTTGAAAAGTAAAGGTTTGTTATTTCTCTATGGATATTACAAGTTGGAAAAAAGGTGAAAAATATACTTACTAAGACTTTATGTCAATCTGTTTATGGGGCTGAAGGATCTTTTCCTATACTTGAAATTGTAAAGTAACTTAGAGACACCTTTGGAGGGTAATATGGAACATCAAATATTTATCATTCTTGCCTAGTTTCTTTATTCATATTGCTAGGTTCCTTGTAACCTGAAGATATGCTTGGGTAAACAAGGACACCCTGTGAATGATCGTGAGCCCACCAAGGCAGTGAACATGCTAGGAGATGCCAGACTTGGTGGCATGTCCTGATGTCTCCATGTTTCATCAGGGTTATGTTTAGAGTGAAATATCCCTGACAGAAGCAAAATACCACATTTTCTACCCAGCAAAGATATATAATGATGGGTAGATAAATTCCAAGATACAGGATGCAAGAAACAAAATAAAGCCAAAAAATATGTATATGAAATCCTTAGGAAAATTTGAGTTGCCATATAACATTTACAGTAATATATATGTGTATATATGTATATGCATATGTATACACACATCTTTATACAAATATATATATATATATATCCTCAAATAGTCATTTATAATTGAAACTTGCAGCAAACTGAGAAGTGACTACAATGTTACTATTGTTTTAATAATGCGGTCTCCATTTTAGGGGAAACTGAGGCCTACTCAAGTTAACTAAGGAACCCAAACTGAAACCTTCATCTTTTGCTTTATACATTTTTCTCTAGATTACATAAACTGTATGTCTAATATAACATATGTATATCATAGTGGATGGCTCAAAAATGTATGGTGAACTGAATTAAATTAAAATCTATGCCACTTTACCCACTTTATGATTCAAATAACCTGAAGTTGGAACGAACATTTGTGAATCTGCAAGAAGCCTGTTCCAAAGGCATGGATGGCATTTTAAAAATCTTCTGTGGCAGTTAAGTTTATTTGCATACATACTTGTGAAAAAGCTATCTTACATTTCAAGTCAATACTGTTTGTGGTAAGTCATATTATGTTTTTCTAAATTCTCTCTTTCAGGTTTTTAATTCTAAATGATACATAATACTTTATACCAAAAACAAAGTAATATGTTTCCATTTCTCTAAGTATGCAAAATTTTTAGAAGTCTATAAAACCAAACAATGTAACTTATTAGAGTTAATATTTTCCAAACCATTAACCAAAGAATTACCATTTTACTCTTCCTTGTCCTCACACATTTCCCTTAAATCACCAAATCTTATCTCGATCCCCTAAATTTCTCTCAAAGATAAGCTACTTCTATATGTCTCATGGCTCACACCGTTGCCAGGCCTCCTCTAAGTGGGAGCTTTAGCCTCCTAATTGGTGTTCAGTCAGTCCTGGTCCAATGGCAGCTACAGAATGGGTTCTCCACTTGGCAGCCACAGGATAATCTGATCTTGTCACTACTCTGTTTAAAATATATCATTGTCACCTTACCTCTTGAGTAGTGTTTAAAAACTTTAACATAGGTTATCAAACCTTCATGATCTTTCTCCTTCTCTTGGTTTATGTGGAACTATGTCTCTATTCGCTGCCTATTCTGGCCACCTTGGGCTTATTTCAGATGCTC